GTGTAATGCATTGTTGTGTGTGAAGCGTAAACTCTTTGGAGGAAAGATGAGGGCTATGGTTTTGGGAAGATTTGATGTAATGACAATTTACTAGGCTGTTTGATGTAGGGATGTGAGGGTCCTTGGTGATTTGAAAGGAGAGAGGGTGAGGAGGGGAGGGTTCATTTCTTGGGCTCCTTAATGGACTCTTTATCCTCTTAGTTTAGGGATTTTCTTTATCTGTCATCGTATTAAATAAGCAAGCTGCTGTAGTTTAGATTCTTTTGATGCAATATTTATGTTGTATGTGTACTTGCAGACTTGAGAAAAAATTTTCCCATTCATGATTTCAGAGTCGAAGCTCATGGTTCAATCATTGATGTCAGCTTGGCTGCTTACTTCATTGTAAATGCCTTTCACTGTTCGATTATGTAAGGATCTGACCAAGCATATTCATAGATATTGTATTCTTTGGTCCTTTATTGTTGTTTATTTGGTGTTTTCTTCTGAAAGAATTTTCATGACAATATTTTCTTTTCAGTTTTTCTGAAGATGCCTGCAAGTGAGATAGATGGTGAAGGAATCAGAGCTGATCTCGAGGTCTCTGATGCCACTGTTGTTGCAATATATGTTTGGTTCTCAAAATTCAATCCCTGATGAGCTTCGGAAATTGGTCGAGGTCGAGGTCGAGACAGGAATGATTGATGGTGAAATGGATGCCATTTCTTCTTGCAGCCTGTTCTCAAAGTTCTTGTTTGCAAATGATAGATATGGAGTATTTTGATTGACAAGAGATAATGACATTTCTTGACAATTCTAGAACAGTCCATCTGAGTTCTTTTGTCAAGCTGCATCATTTAACCCCAGCACAAGTCCAGTTTCTGCTAAGCAATCACTCATGGCTGAGCAATCACTCGTGACAAAATTGCAGCTTCATTGCGTCAAATACCCAAATTTGTGTCCAGCATGTTCCTCGTATTTCTAATGTGGCTGAACACTGAATTGCACGGTTTAGCCTCCGTGAAAGGGGCTTATTGTTTTGTCTTTTTTTCTCCTCATTTTCCATGCTTAACTGGGAAATAGATTGTTAACATACATAGCTCAATTTGTTCCATTGGATGCCTAAGTTGATGCAGCAGGAAATAATACTTTCAAGTTTTAAGTTGATATCCCCCTACAATTATAAAAATGATGATGATCATGTTCATGGACTCTAGAAGGCGTGGGCAGCACAGTAACAGTACAATTATAAACCCAATTGATTTTCATGTTTTTGTTTATCTTATTTTCTGCTTCTAGGTGTAAAATGGACTTGTTTGACAGAGTTTAAAGCTAAAATGGAACACAACCCATTTTACACCTCTAAATATCTTTTAATTATGCTCCAGCTGAATAAAAGTTTTGGAGAATGACACGAAATTACAATTCGGATTCCTGGCCATTATAATACTTGGTTTCTTCTCAGTCAATTTGTATATCATGTTATCTTTAAAATAGAAAATCAATTCTTAACTTAAATACTCATTGAATTCGACAAAAACGAAAAATACTTATAGGGCCAGTTTGGTATTGCTGTGCTGTGAAAATAATCATTGTTATATTTGCTGTGAGAGAAATCAGCTGTGAGAGAAAGCAGTTTGGCGTTTGGTAAACTTTTTGTTAAAAGTGCTGTTGGTAGAATAATCAGTTTATGAGTGTTTAGAGTAGTTTCTAAATACATTTTGTTTCTAGTTTCGCATTAGTGGAACAAAACATATTTGTGAATTACTTGCATATGTAATGTTTTCAGTTTTCAAAAAATAAAATAAGAACATGTTTATATCCAAAAATAAAGAAATTAAAAAGAAAAAAAAAATGCTTTCGAAGCTATGAAACAGATAAGACAAATAAACATGAAGCTTTTTAATCCGCGCTGCCACAAATGCTGTAGTTTTGTGCTGGCCTTCTTTTCCAATGTCTTTATCCGAAAATTCTCTTTCTTTGTCTGATCAGAAAATCACCATTGGAAGGTAGCTTTCTCAAAACCATTGTGGGTCTGATATGATATTTGGTCCTGGGAACTAGTTGTTGTTTGCTAAACATTTTTGGGTTTTTTTTGTTAGTAGAATGAAGACGACCAAGGTTGAAAATGATCTTTTCCTCACTGGGTCTTTCACTTGGAGAATCGAAGGCTTCTCAAAATTGAACGACGACAACATGCATTACTCTGATGTTTTCGTCATTGGTGGTCTCAAATGGTATTAATCCTCTCCTATTTTTAACTATATATGCTTAACCTTTTTTCATTTTTGGTAGAACTCAAAAGTCCCTAATGGTGGGTGCTAAAAGACCCATCTTGAAAACTGAGCAAAACCCATTGTAGACTAGCATGGTGCAATTTATTTAGTGAAAAACCATCTTCGTCACTAAGAAGAGTAGCCAAGATTACTTTTTTAGTTGATGGGTTTCAAGGAGGCATTGCCATTTCCTCCAAGATGAGTTTTTTAGTTGATTTTCTTCGAGTTGGTGATGTCATTTTCTTCAAGATTGAATTTTTTTTTCTCTTTGGCTGAGTTTTTTGGAACTCATTTTCTCGGATACCAAACATGCAATGGTGTCCCATTTGGATTGTATATCTTGCATTTCTTTCCCATTTTCAGATCCACTATAAACTATGAAGCTGCAAATTGAAAGAAAGGAAAATGAAAATAGGAACTATCTAGAAGCTTTTAGCTTCTTTCACCAAGCTAAAAGTTAACCCATCAACTTGATAGCCCAATGTTGGTGAACAGTTGTAATAATCCAATAGTAGGCCACAAGGCCCAAAATGATCCATTATACTTTGTTATTTGTTTGTTACCAACCCTTTCTTTGATCAGGCAAATCCTTCTACACCCAAAGGTTCACGCAAGCCTAGCAGAGGCAGAGAGCTTCTCAGTGTATTTGGGTGTTGCAGATGTTTCAACATTACCACCTGGGTGGACTACATGTGCCCACTTTAGATTGACCATGGTTAATCAACTTGACACCAACAAGTCAATAGCAAAGCCTGCAAAGGGTACTTTTCGTTACTGCTCATTTCTTTTTTGTTTTTGTTTATCTCTGTCGTGTTGTCATTTATGACAAAGCACAATGAATTGAATATGTGATGGTTTCCATTCTACACAGTTTAACTTTTTGTAGAAGGCTCAAACAGCATCATTTCAATAATTTGAACCCTACTAAATTTTTTACTTGGTGGAAAGAAAGGAAATATGCAAATTTGCTAATCCTATATCTTTTTTTCTGGACATAATAGTATGGCAACTGTCACTGGACAGGATCTAATCCATTTCCTTTGTGATGGGACGTGCATGTAATTTGAACTTTAGTCATTTTGTGATGACACATTTCTTCATGTTGACGGGGGATATTTTGTCATCCAGTTTGAATGAATAGGATGCCTAAGTTGATGTTGCAAGAAATTATGTTCTTAATTGGCATCATGGTTTAAAATATATAACAAATTGATTCCCCTACAAATTTGAGGGAGAAGTGCTTTAGAGTATAAGGCCTTGTTTGGTGGGTTGGACTGGACTAGTTAGGATTGGACTGGTTTGGCTTGGATTGGAATGGACTTTAATAGGTTTTGAGGATCAAATTTGGGGCTCTAGGATGCATGGCCACATCAGTATACTTACAAGTATAACTTGTTTTCATGTTTTTGTGTAGTTTCTTTTATGCTTTCAATGTGAATAGTAGCTTGCTTGACAAAAACATGCCATGAACCTGACTTGGTTAAAACTTGAATGACGCGACGTGTGGTGCTATGCACAATATGATCGTGCCAAGGACATGAGTATCTGTTCCTATTGGTTCAGTTATGGCATGGTACGTACAAGTATGAACCATGACTAATTAGTGTCCTGTGTGCATACGAAATAACCCATTTTTGACCTTATGTCTTTTAGAACTTTAGTTATGTAACGAGCTGATCATTGTCTTCCAGCTTGAGAGAAGTTTTGGAGAAGAAAATAGCTTGAGGGAACTTTAGTTAAGTCAAGCTATTTGGTTTCTTAGTTAATGTGTTTCACTTCGTAAACTTAGCCTTTTATCATGATTAGCTTTTCTCTGTTTAAACCTTTGCTGGTTATGGTATTTTTTGGATCTGAACTATTATAAGCACTGTTCTTTTATCGTTGGTTCAGTTCATAAATATATATATATATATATATCGAAACACTTCTATAGTAACTTGGAATTAGAGTTCATTTGTTGTTGTTTCTTTATTATTTGGCAATGTGCTTTGCATTCTAAATTATAGTTATTCTGTTCCTTGAATTTCACAGGCACTGTTCGACTAGTGTTCAAAAAGGGCTCCAGTGAGTGGGGCTTCAGATCATTTATGCCTTGTAGTGAGCTTTATGACTGCAGTGCAGGTTATCTTGTGAATGATGTATGTATTGTTGAAGCCAAGGTTGATATCCCAATTAAGAGTCAAGACCATGGACTTGGCATTTCTGCAACTATCAAGTCCTCAATTAAGAAAGAACAGAAATGGTTGGAGCCTTCAAATGTGAATTCTGTTCAAGTCCCAGACTCTTTAGTTGCACCTAAGACACCTTGTTCTAAACTGGTGCCTGCTTTGCAAGATACGCCAGGTTCTGGAAAAGCTTTTATTGTTAACCCTACTAATGATAGCCCTGTTGAACCTTCTCTAAACAAGGTACCTATGGAAGTCCCCACCGACCTATCAGCCGAACATGTGGATTTTAAGGGTTTTGGACGGATAGAGAAAGTTTTTCTTCCACTACTAGAGGAAGTCTGTACATGGCATCCTTCATTGATTCAATGCCAACTGAAAAGTAGTAATTTGTTTGCTAACTCTGCATTCAATGCTTTGGGACGAGTGCTGTATTGTCTCAAGACTACAAAGGTCAAGGATATGACACAGGAATCTTGTGAACGCCTTCAGCTTTTCTGGGAGGAGCTTGAGACCTTCAGATTTGACTTGGGATGGCTGGAGCCTCGAGTTCAATATGCCCTTGGTGTGAAGAGATTGGTGCAAAGGGCAGGAAGAAGGAAGAGGCTAAGAGAAGATGTAAATGATTTGGAGAATGAAATTAAGAGGCGGAGGCACAATGTAGTTGTTTTGGAGACTGAAGTTCAGAGGCAGAGGGCTACACTTGCTGTTGCAGAGGTAGATCTTCAGGTAGCAAAGGTAGACTTGGCAAAGTTGGAAGAAGACTTCAATGGGATTGACATGGATAGTGAGATGGGTTATGAGAGGCCTTAGTTTTAATGGGGAGTTTTCTCCAAGATCCGAGTACGATTTATAGGAGGCGTGTCTGCAATATATATTTACCACTTGCACGACTAGGAATTTTGAAACTTATGAAACACTTGAATTAGCTGTCTGTAAGTTATATAATGTTAAGAATTATGTAAAAATCTTCTAGTTTCTTTTGAAGAGTGGTCTAGCTTATTGAGGTTGCAGTTCTCCTTTGTCATCTTTTGTTCATTGCATGATTTATCATTTATTCACTTGAGCTATATATTTGCAGAATATAATTCCATTTTATTTATTTTTTTATTTTTATTAGTAGAGTAATTAGAACCAAATCGAACCAGCCCCTTGAAAATACCCAAATATATTAAAAACTTTTACACTAGAGGGAGTTGAAACCTGACTAATAATTGCACACCACATCGACTTTCCACTGTGGTACGCACGCTTCTTGTTATATATTTGTAAGACGAGGTACTTAATAGCATTTTATTATGAAGAGGGACGTCATTTGGATATAATTTTCCTAAATCTATTGTAGCATGTGAAAACTTTGTCTTGGACGAGGAAAATGGTTCAAAAGTCATCAATTTGCTCATTGACATTCAAAATTGATTAATGACATATTTGGTACAACCATACATTAAAGTAGTCATTATCGTCAAATTCTTTTAATATTTTGTCGAACTTGGTTATGTGACTCGTTTTTTAAGGGTATGTGATTAAAACCATATCTAAAGGTGCAATATGCAGCACCTAACCTGTGTTTTTCAGTGAGAGAAGGTGCAGCTACACCTCCTTATACCTTCATAGGTCAGCTAATACATATGCATATCAATATCTATAGATTATTTCAAGTATATAATGAGAAAAGGTGAATAAATAAAAAAGAGGCGCAATATAATGAAAATGTTGCACTCATTTGAGAGTGGTTTATTTGTTGGCCCCAACCACATGGCCCCAAATTTAGAGGATTTTTTTTTTTTGGATTGACCCCAAATTTAGATTTGGGGCATAAAATTCCGATACTGCGCATTAGGCTAAGTCCAGTTTTTTTTTTGTTTCATCATATTATTTCAAGCATCACGTGAAGAGCTAGCTAGCTGGCTACCTTTTGCGGACAGGTTGTGTTATCAGTGATAATGAAATAGTGGAATCCAAATTTTCACTAAAATGGTTAAAAGATACTCAGACCACCATGAATGTGGTTTGCATGGAATTAGAAATATCTTAGCTGCCTCGCCCGGCGAGGACTCAGGCGGGGCTTTAATTGGCTACAATACATTCAAGACATGCCAATGTTATTTATGGGCCTTCAGAGCAGGACTCTCTCTCTCTCTCTCTCTCTAGCATAACCATATCACTGTTTGGGCCACAAATTGGCATACCCAGCCCAGCAAAATTTAGGCCCAGAATGAAGCTGCAAAAAATCAAAGAAAGATGGAAGCCCAAAAGCCAGAGGAGACCAGCCCAAAACTCATCAAATCTGGGCCTCACAGGCCCAATATAAAAGAAAGAAGAAAGCCCAGAAGTAGGAACAATCCCACGTGATCTCTCTGAAAAAAGAAAAGTCAGCAATGGCAACTGTCACAGGAGAAGTAATTGAAGGGTTCATAATATCAAGATTGATTCTGGAAAAGCTAAAGATCAAATCCCTCTTACACATACATGATATATATATATATACATACTCAGAGATTTTTTCCCCTGTCTTTTCAGAAGGTAATTCTCCCAAGGAGATAAGCAAGTTACAATCTCAGGGAGGGATAAGCAGGAAAGTAGGAAGCTGTCCAGAAAAGGAGTCAAACTAACCATCACCGGCAAAATATCACGAGGGGCAGTTGAAATTGGGAAAGAGATTAGGTTCCTTTTCAAGAAAATCAGGGAAAGTGATTGCCTATCTGTTGAGAGCCTATCTACCAAAAACTGAGGAAACCTTTTTCTTTCTTTTCTTTTCCATTTTTTTTAAAAAAGAAAATCTTTTTGAAAGGATTTGCCGCCCATTATTAAAAGAATTACCCTACTCCAGAAGACATCTCTTATAAATACAAGAAGGAGTGAACAGGGCAACACACAATGAATCTTACAACAAAATTTCATCATTCAACCAAACAAAGGTCCTACACAGGTAAACATTCACGTAAACAAGCTCAGAGTCGACCAACAAGTCCACTTGAATTTCAAGTGAAAAACCAGTCCCAGATCAGAATGCCCAGAATCCAGACTTAGGAAGCAAGTCATCCAAAACGAGATTTCTCTCGTTACAAATTTGGTTCAGCAAAAACCAACACAAGCAGAGTCTGAGCCTCCTCCAAGCATGGAAAACCCCAGCCAAATTCACGGAATAGCCTCTAGCTCACCAACGTCCTCAAGAACAGCCACTTCTGCCCTTTCAGACTGAAGAAACCGCAGTTCTGCCTACTCGGAAGCTTCGCAAAAGCTTGAGGTACATTAAAGCTCTGCCAGAATCAACCTTTGGCATCGATTTGAAGTTGAAACTTAGCAATCAGAGTTGTCAACATTCCAGTCCAGACTCGAGCTTTCCAGTCCATCCCGG